TTTTAAAGTGAAGTAAATTTTATAGACTAGTAGTCATGAATGACGTGTGCCCCCAGAGGCTGGGGGGGCACGGCGAGTTCCCGCAAGTGGCGGCGGGAGCATGGCGGAGGCAAGCGGGGCCCTGCCGCAGGCAGCTGCAGCGCTGCTGGTGGTGGAGGGGTGAGCGACAACCAGTGGTCAGCAACCACCCCCAGACACTGCTGACAGCATAGGCGGTGGCTAGCGGTGATCAGGGACTGCCCACAGACACTGCTGGTGGTGTCGGCGGCGAGGGGTGTGTGGTTTCACATGGGGTGCACCATCATGCTCGAGGGGTGCACATGCACCTGGATGCATATGCACCTGCGTGCACCCCCTACACGTCGCCAATGCCAGTGGTTTTTACCTTTTTTTCATTTGTGCACTCCTAAAGAACTTCAGATGGAGGTGCAGACCCCTTTGGAAATTTTTAATGGAGGTGAAGATCCCTTTGAATTGTAAGTCTGGTATTCACATACTTTTGATTGATCATAGTCATCTTTCGCAGACCCTTGGACATAGTCTGTGGACTCCCGGAGGTCTGCAGACCACAGGTTGAAACCACTGTTATAGACCATCTTTACACAACAATATTGCTAACAAGGTAACACATCTTCTCCACTGCTAGTTACCTTTAAAATAGTCTGGAGTGGTACAATTTTCCAAATAAATGATAGCTCATTGTCTTGCACAGAGTGAAGGAACTGCTTCTTGTTGAGAATTGGACACATCCTTTCACTTCTACCATCTTGTCTGCCAGTCTCTCCTGACATTATTAGCTTATCTACTCAGGAGGTCTTGTCCTTTAGATGGAAAATCTTTTGCAATAGGGACTGCTAGTCCCTATGCATTCGTAATTGCCAGCCCCAAAGGGTCCTGACCTGAGTGGCAGAAGTATAAAGGTTAAATAAAAATATATGAATAAACAAAGATATTTTATTTTTATTTTATTTAGAGTCTATGCTTCTAAAAAAACCAACCAAAAAGTCTAAGAAATAAAGTATGCTTTTTCATCATGAAAACAGCTCGTCTGTGAAGGAAGGACAGGATTTGGGTTAATCTAAGTTTGTGAACTTCAAATCCTACTTGGATACTGTTAGAATGCCAACATGAAATGATGAACAGTGTTTAAAAATGCATGCAGCTTTCTGGATCCCAGGCACACACACTCCCCTCTCCTCTCAGGGGTCCGGTCAATACATCTGGCTCTGCTGAAATGGAGGGAAGTCCTTCTATTGACTTCTTTGGCACACATGTAAGCAGCCCAACAGGTACAGAAGAGGACAGAATGTGGGCCCCAATGCAGTTACTTTATTTTCTTTAGGATAGTCCTTTCAAGTCAGTCCTTCCCTGACACACAGTTGAGGCCTGAGAGAGGATGGCAGTTGTGGGTGGGGGGAACAGAAACGTCCCCAGATCTTGCAAAAATGTCATTATTGTTTCCATGCCCCTCTCCTTTGCGGTGGTTGCTGTGAAAAAAATAGATGCATAAAGTAGGATTTATTTGAAATGGCTGCTATGAGCTGCTGAGCATGTTACCTGGCAGAAGATGGTGCTGGAAAATCAAAGATACCCACATTGTGCAACATTTTGTAGCCCCACAGGAGAGAAAGACTGAAACCACTCTCAGCCCCGATTGCTTACAAGTCAGAATATAACTAGGTTATGAGATCCAGTTTAGATCATTCAGATTTTTAACCTGGTTACAGGGAAGTGGTCAGAGGATGGCTGTACTACTACTTTTGAACTCAGACATGCTGTAAGCAGGGACCTTGACTCGGTTCTGGTCTCCACAGGACCGAGCTGCTACTTTTAGACCCAAATGTACATTCCCCAGCATTTAACACTCCTGAATTTTGAGCTGCTAACTAATGCAAGATCACACTTGAATGCATGTGAGAAAAGGACAGCACCTTGATTAAGGTAACTGCACAAATCGATTCATAACTCTCCCTCCATACTACAGAAGTGTAAAACTAGTCATTCCCCACTAGTCATCTCCCACAGTTTCCCCTACACTTTTATTTTTCTCAGATACATTTTAGAGGCTTTGCTTCCACTGGCCAAAACAGATTCTTTATAGCACCTGAAACCTCACAGGACTGATGCTGAACGCGTACATGGCTACAAGGGGCACCTTAAAGACTGGTTGCATGCAAGGGCTGTGGGTGACTCAGTAGGTGGCAGTCTGCACAGGTCTGACACCCTCCAAATGTTAAAGAGGACTGGGTTGCCGAGTCTTTCCAATGAGGCATAACAGAGCCACAATCACGGGGTGCTGCTTTTAAAATCCCACAGTGCCTTCTCCTACACTGAGAACATTAACCTCGGGCGCGCAGCCCAGCTCCTAGCCAGCTCAATATTATGCCTTGTAGAGTCAAGCGGAAGTCACATTGTTATTTCCTTCTGGTCTTAAACTTCTCAGGGCTGCCAAACAAATGGGCTGGCTCTTCAGCCAGCGGACAGCAGAGATGTAGCCCTCCCCACCGCCTGCTGGAATCATGATTAAAAAAGAGCATATAGGAGCGCAGGGGCTGACCCCAAGAGCACACGGCCTAGGCGAAGGGGTGGCAAGCTTTTTTGAGCGGGGCGCCAAAAACACCCACAACCTTGACTCCTAAGATGTCGGTGTGGTGCGGGGTGGCAGGGTTGCTGCAAGGGGCGCCAAGCAAAGTGCCTTGGCGTGCCATGCTCTGGCATGCATACTGACAGCTGGTTTGGAGGGCTCAGGGGGGCCCAGGCTGTTGTGGCTCCTGGCCCTGCCGGCCTGGCATTCAGCTCCTCTGCCCCGTGCAGGGCTGCGCCCAGGAGAGCCA